CACACACACACACACACACACACACACACACACACACACACACAGTCTCCTGCATTGGTTTCTGATGGTCTTGAAAGCTTAACATGCTTTTAGCACTCCCAACAGCAAGTGTTAGTTGTGAAAAAGTTTGCCACATTTTTTGTGTTAGTGAAAGCTTTGGGTAGCTGTTCAGAAACACTTCACTGAATCCGAGCCCAGTATCACTTTTGTTTACTGATTGTGGACCATTTTGAAACTCTTCTGGATTAGTGCAAGATATTTTTTGCTAAATAAAAGCATGAACTTAAAATTCATCTAGTAGATTTTTCTTTGTGGATAGGGCTGCTACTGACCTATATTCTACAATACAAAAACATACAAGTCCAAGCTATGTGTAGTCATAGCGAGTCACATTAAAGTCCAGAAGTTTGATGCTAATCTAAAGAAGTTTCAAGTCTGAAGTTAGAGCATCACTTAAGTCAGTTAAGTGTTTAGTCACATTTTAAAATACATCCTCCTGCTCTAAAACTGAAGGCACTTTTCTCAACAGACTCCCAACTGTTTAGTAGAGTTCGCTATCAGCCAATGAAGATATACCTTAAACCTCTTAAGATTCTTTTTAATGGCCACCAGGGGGCAATACCTGTGGTTGCAAGAAAGATTTTTGATAAGAAGTCTCCGGGAAATTGGCCTTCTAACCTGACCTCAGTAAATAGTTTCTTGATGAGTTTATGGGCTTAGTCAAATAATAGTCTCAGATTTAGGTTACTCAAGGCAATCCTACAATCATATCTGCCTCTTGCTTCTCACATTTGGCTTCAAAAGACAAAGATGGTCATTATGAAAACACTCAGATAGAGCCATCAAAGCAGGACTTTGGAACTGTGGTTGACATCATGTAGCTACATCCATCTTTTATACTATCTATGGTTACCACCAATTATCAGACCCAAATCTATTTGTGTCAAAATAGAGTTCAATGTGCCCACACAAATACAAGATACAGGGTAAGAACTCTGGTGCCAGCAAAGTGGAGGGAGGAGAGCCTTTCTTCCTGAAGATCGACTACATATCAGCTTCCAGTCCTACTGCCATCACCTTGTCTTGTTTATTTATTTTTGTCCACCTGGAACAACTCCCAGCACACTTTCACTGCACATGCTTTTGTAGTGTTCTACCTGACTGACTTTCTCTGTGTTGTCTGTTGTAGCTAAAAAAAATCTCAACAAGGCAATATATTTCCATCTTGCAGGAAGGAGATCTCTCAGTACATCGACATACCCCACAACTTCACGCTGACTCGAGACTCAGTCCGAATCGGTCAGCTGATGCATTATGACTACTCCAGCCACAAATACGTCTTCTCCATCAGCGACAACTTTCGCTCTCTCCTCCCGGAGGTCTCACCAATCCTCAACAAGCACTATAACGTATGTGCTGTGATTGGCAACAGCGGCATCCTCACTGGCTCACGCTGTGGTCCCCAGATTGAGAAATACGACTTTGTCTTCCGCTGCAATTTTGCGCCGACTGAGATCTTTAAAAAAGATGTTGGGCGTCGCACCAACATGACGACCTTTAACCCCAGTATCCTGGAGAAATACTATAACAACTTACTAACTGTGCAGGACAGAAATAACTTCTTCCTTAGCCTGAAGAAGCTAGATGGCGCCATTCTGTGGATCCCGGCGTTTTTCTTCCACACGTCGGCCACAGTGACGAGAACGTTGGTGGACTTTTTTGTGGAGCATAAAGGTCAGCTCAAGGTCCAGCTCGCCTGGCCTGGAAACATCATGAAATATGTCAACAAGTAAGAAAAAGCAGACTATTAAAGTACATTCAGGTGTTAAATCATTAATATCTAGTACGTCATCAGTCCACATCTCCACATGTGATCACTATGTCATTAGTAGCAGTAAAACATTTTATAACTCTACTCATTAAAAATAAAGATGTATACTTAATATAAATTTGGCTGATCTCCTCTTCAGTGTCTTCTCCCTGTGTACCTCTGGACCTCTTCCAGATGAGGAATTTGCACTTATATTTGTATGTCTGTGACGTACACTGTATTGTCTTCATTGTGTTATAAAAACAAAAACTCTACAACTTTAGTTTCACATTAATGAAGACTTCAAAAAGCCAAGCCGGAAGAGGAACAGAGCTGCATAAGGAGGCAACCCCAAGACTGGCCAAATTAGGACTGGCCATCATTTCTGTGTGGAGTATCCTGAAGGGAATAAATGGTTAAGAAGATAGGGGGATGGTTTTAAGTCAGGAGTCTGTGTGGACAGATTTGTTTTTGAATATAACCCCCCAGTGGCCGTTAGATGAACTGCAGTTTTGGCCTTTTATTTTCTGAGGTTGTAGCTGAGTTTTTACAAATTTTGTTCTAGGGTACATATTTGTGTTCACAGTAATGAGGAAACATGTTCTTCAGTCCAACAACGCAATTTATTGATGACTTTAACAGTTTTTGGACAACAGTAGGGTTGTTGGCTGATAGATTAATTTCTGGATTTTGGTCTTTAATTGATTTGTTTGACAAGGAAATCTCCATCATCAACGTGAACATTAGGTTTACTAGATAACTTTTTTCTAAATATGTCTTGTCATTGTCATTGGTAATTATTTACCTTTTACCTATGATGATACTCACATTTCATAAGGTTGTCAAAGTGACCTGTTGAAGTTCAAACTGAGCACCAGAATGTGGAAGAAAGGTGATTTATCTGATGCTGAACGTGGCATGGCTGTTGGTACCAGACGGGCTCTGAGATTTTGGAAACTGCTGATTTGTGATTTTTTTTCCAAACAACCATCTCTAGGGTTTCACATTATTGATAATGTTAGTAGATCAATATAGACTAAAATCTAAAGGAATGGTTCCAGTATGTTTTTGAATCTATGCCATGAAGGATTAAGGCAGTTCTGAAGGTAAAATGGGGTCCAACCCACTACTTGAATTAGTCTCTGAGTTTATTGCATAGCTCATTAAGATTAACAGCTGATCAAATTCGGTGCTTTCTGCTTGTTAAAAATGGACATGCTCACAACTGGATTTCATTTCCGCCCGGTTAGCTTGGTCGTCCCTGTCTCTTAGCATTTAAAGGCTGTAGCTATTTGTGCTTTCTCTCTGTCTGTGTTTTTAAATATCCCTCATCCACCTCAATCCTGTTTAAAGAAACTAGTAGAAACTGTCTGACACGTGGCTGTTTTGTATTGAGCTGTATTCTATATGTCAAAAGAGGAGATTTAGGCTCCAAAGCCGGATTATAAGGAAACAGCTATTTAGTGAAAGGTATGGCACACAGCTGTAACAGTGTGTGTGGAGAGAGGGGGATTTAAGTTGGGTTCTTAGTCTTGTAGTGGCAGAATAGGGCTGCCCGTACAGTAGTCTAATCTTTACCAATCCCATTAAGTCTACCTGCTCTGGAAGAATTACCACTTTTAAGCAGCTCAGACGGCTTTCAGCGCTGTAAGGACTCTTGAAGCCGCTTTTGTTTAGGCCAGTTTGGAGAGTTTCCCCCTTTGTGATTTTTCAGAGCAAAACTGCCACATTAAAGCTTCAGCAGATTATGTCCTATCAATAGAGTCCTATTTTCAGAATTTTTGGGAATGATTTCTAGAAAAAAGCAGACAAAAGTGGACAGGATGATATTCCTTTTCTCCGTTTACCAAAATTCAGGTTTTTGCCTAAACTGTTCAAAACAAGGGGGAAATAACTAGGAACAAAAGCAGGAAGTCGATGCTAAAAAGGATCAAAACACAGCAAAAACATTGCAAAAAAAGTACAAGGAACATGTCACAGATAAACTCAGTGGTTTGTTGCAAATCCTTGATTCTAATATTCTTTAATTCTAATAATCACTTTGCATTTATTTGCCACTTAGTTATTAGGTCATAGCATTTTTCAAGTGTTTAATAGTAAAAGTGATATAATTCACTTTAAGAGTGAATAAATAAAGTTGTGAGTGCCTGAATTATTAATTTAATCTGTGACCAGTCTCTTGTCATTCATACTCCACAGCTACTGGAAAACCAAGCAGCTGTCGCCGAAGCGCCTGAGCACAGGCATTCTGATGTACACGCTGGCTTCTTCCATGTGTGACCAGATCCACCTGTACGGTTTCTGGCCCTTTGGCTGGGACCCGAACACAGGCAAAGAGCTCCCCTACCACTACTACGACAAGAAGGGCACCAAATTCACCACCAAGTGGCAGGAGTCCCACCAGCTGCCAGCCGAGTTTAAACTCCTCTACAAGATGCACACAGAAGGACTGCTGAAGCTCTCCCTCTCCCACTGTGCTTAGGGATAAAACTGTGGCAGGTACTGTGCTCCTTCAGGCTCCGATCCAGCACTTCCACTGGCCAGAATTACAGAAAGGGTGAGACAAGCAAAGTTGGGACTCCTGCCGTTTAGTCAAAGGCAACAGCTTGACTGTAAGGCTGAGTTGGTGCAGTGGAGATCAGCCTGAGATACCAGAGCAAAGGCTCATAATCGTGCGCTCAAGATGAACTGTGACAGCTCAATAAACAAGCAGTGTGTTAATTTTCTACTGCTCATAAATCTACAGCTGAACAGCACTGCGTTTAGTTTCATTTTACCACAGAAAGGTGGACTGTCATGCAAAAGCTGGTCTTCAGACGAGTGTCACAGTGCTGAATCATTTAATAGCTTTTTAATTGCAGTCGTGGTCTTTCACAGAACTAATGCAGACACATGCAACATAAAACAGCTCCATCCAGAAATGACAGCATGTAGGCCAATCAGATTCAAGCACATAGATCCAGGCATGGCAAAAAACATGATTTTGTGGCTGTTTTCAAAAATTGCAAAGTGCTGTCTTACGTTCGTTATATATTATAATAAACAGCTGTGTGGCGCTGGGGTTTGGTAAACCCTCAAACTCAGAGCTCTGACATTTTGGGTTATTTTTCTTTGGTTTCTTTGCTGTTTTTGGTCTGAAAACAACAATGCTGGGATCATCCGCATGTCAGGGACCACACTGACAAAGTCTGGAGGTTGGATGTATGCAGGGTCCTGACAATATCCTAGATTTTATTTTTGCACATTAGAGTCATATTAAGAAAAGAAGATGAAGCTTGATGAAGATGATGATGAGATCAGAATACACAGTATTTTGCCTTTGACCAAGATACATTATCAGACTACATATCTTTCTGTTTTCAAAACTTCTACAGTGCCACATACAAAGGAGAACAAAAGGAGGGACCAGGTTTGGCTTTCTTTGCTCCACCTGACAGCTCCAACATCATTATCAGTCTTTCCTTTTGCCATGTCTGCTGTTGTGCTATATATATATATATAAGAACGCTCAGTCTCTATATTTAGCACAGTGAAAGGATATAGTAGATCCTACAGTAGTGCAATCGGTGCCTGGAGAAGTCTCTTTTTTGTTTATTTAAGCAGCAGGTATGATATAGTATAAACGCCCTGTGCTACAAGCACTAAAGTATGAAAAAACTTATTGCATTTGCACTTCACTCTTCAAAAACGAAGTAGTATTTTACATATATTCACTTAACTCTATCTGAGTTTGTGTCCATCTGATGAATGCAAATCAATTTTTCTTTCTCCTTTTAGTCTCATTAGCTCATTCCTTATTCCCGTTTCTACCCTGCTGTTTTTATTTGTTTGTTGCGTATGAGTGGTTTGATAACCTTTGATTTCTAAAGTGACCCTACTGCTAATGTTAGAGCTATAAACAGAGTAAACCGTGGAGTTAACGTCACTTTAAAAGATCTACTTTTAAAACAAATAACTATACGTTTCATAGAGATAGTAGGGCTGAGTGATTCTTTTGAATATCATTTAGGAAAAACAAGATAATTGGATTAAGTGTTGGAGATGGAGCCAAGACGATGAAAAGAGCTACTTTGGTCAATACAATTTCTGTAGAAGTAAATTATGACAAGGTTTAGGAAAGGCTAGAAGCTCTGAAAGGCAGGTTGGTACAAAGCAGAGTTTGCTTTGCAGTCAAAAGCAATTCAATTCTCTACAACTATTTAAAATATTTAAAATTATTTATTAATTTATTAAATTAAATAAATAATTTCTTATTCTTGATTCTTGAATCAATAATCACATTAAATAATCACAATTACAAACAATCCCAAATCCCAGCTGATCTGTAAAGTTCAATCACAGACTGTATTTAAATGATGGAAATTGTGATGTCACAGTTGATTAGTGCAGCAAGGAAGCTAATTTACCATATTAACTTATTTTTAAAAAAAAAAACATAAATTCAGTATAACCTGAAACTACCAACTGAGCCAAGTCATCAGAAAAGTGTTCACTTCACATGGCAAGAAAGCCGAACTGCTGAAGTTGCCCCCGACTGGCTTTTAGAAATAATGTAGATTTAAGGTACTTCTGTATGGACCCAGAAGCTACATCCAGCTTTTTTAAATGCAGTTTAAGAGTCCAGCCCAGCTAGAAAGAAATAAAAAGACATTAATTTAAGGTGACTAATAAAAAGTTAATTTAAGATGCATCAGCAAAGCTTCTTCTTCTGCTTTTACATCGAAAATAGTTCCTATTATATTTTATTCAAGTCCACTTTGATAGAAGTTGTGGCATTGTAGTGTAGTGCCTCCTGGATGACCACACGGGGCCTCGCCTTCTCCATTTGATGATGAAATTTACATCACTTAAACCTTTTAGCTGCTTGTCTTTAGCATCGCGTTTTGGGCCGCGTACAATTCACCACTTTATGCCAGCAACAACGAGACTTTTTACAGACAATCAGATTGAGCCACGAAGACATTCAAGAGGGAATTAGCATTGTCAGCGCCATCGACACAATGTTAAAATTCTTGTTTGCTGTTTTGTAAAATGGGCTGTGTGGTGTTTAGATTTACCTTGTTACTCAGTAAAACAGTGAACCTGCCACAAGTGAATGGAAAGAGTTTAAAAATATAGTATAAGAATAAGATGTGTTTATATTTGTGTTTATTTATTAGTTTTTTTAAATCATGTCTAAATTTTATTTTGTGTAAAGGGACAACACTGGTAAATGTACAGGTTGTTCAGTTTAGCAGGAAGACATGTGTTCCCTCTTCCATACTGTTTTTTTTTTAAAAAGAATGACGATGATGCAAGTCCAGATATTTGACTGACCACTGGTGGGTCCATTGAGACGCTGTTATTTTGAACCTTTACTGTTAGAAAATACTAGTAAGACAATGGAGAGAGCCTGAAGTGGTTTTAACCTCAACTTATGATCAAGAATCGGTAGATTAAAGGTCGTGACTGGCACGAGACTCTGTTGCTTATCTGTTGATGTAATTGTGGAGAGTTGAGACTTTAACATTGAAATAAGATAAAGTTATTATAAAGGGTTTTTTTGTGCTTACACAACAAAGTCTTTGTTTGTCGGCTTGTTCATTGGTTTTATAAAGTATAACAAGCACAAAGATAAGACAATTAAAATATCAATTTTCTTACTGTCATTAATCCCTGTTTGTAGTTGTTACAGAAATGTGCACATTTTTCACAATATATCCCAGAAGGCACTTTTCATTTCATGAGAAAAATCCACTATTGATGTAAAAGTTTTGGCACTCTTGGCTTTCCATACATATTTGCATCCACATACTCAGGTTTTTGTGAACAGGTACAGTTGGACAAACTTCTTTTATCATTACTTCCCTGAGTGTTTTGTGGTATGTTAATCTTTTTCTCTTTTTTTGCTGTTGCTTCTGTGTATGTGTGTTTACAAATCCATCAAATACTTTTTCATTTGTAGTTAATTAGAGATGATTTAAGACACCACATGCTACATGAGAGAAATTCCATCATAAGCATGTTTTGTTTTTAGGCACATCAAATATGAATTATAATTTTTTTTACATGCTTTTTATCTCCAAGTTGTGTCTTTGTGGATTTTTAATTTTTAACATTTTTTGAGTTTTGCAAAAATGAGGGAAACTGGGACAAATTTTGTAATCTGCAGCTCAATTTTTGCTGGATTTCACTTATTTTTCCTTTTGGTGTCCTAAAATTTTATTCCAGAAAGATTAAATATGATGTTTTAGGGAATTAAAGACATAGAGATTGTCGTTGTGAAGGTTATGCTATTTTCTGACTTGAGCTGAGTTTTACAAGATGTTCTCATGTTTTATTTTTGTCTTTTTTCTTCTTTCTTTTGTCATCTTTTATTTTTGTAGTGTAAAATAATAGTAAAATATCAGGTAACAGCTTTTACAGAATGTATTTTTTCGCATTGTGAATGAAACTGAGGCCGGCTCCATTCATGTCCATGTCTTCAGAGACCAATGGAGGAAGATTCGTGCAGGAATAACATAAACTAGAACCACTTTTAGATATCATAAACAATATGCTGTAGATTTAATAATAAGTTTAAGTCATCCAGTACTTGAAAGAAACTATATCTACTCTGTATTTATTTAATTATTTAGTCATTAAATGAATTAAATGATCAGTTTGACAATGTGAGTGGTGTCTTCTTCTCCTTTGTTTGTTAAAAAGATGAAAACATCTTTTTCCTTCCTTAGTCAGCACAAACTGAAATAATTCTAAAGCTGGAAGCTGCTGACTGTGGTGGGAAAAATAATCTCGGTTCAGAAAATGCTCAACGTTATCAGCAGTAAACACTGATTTGTCCACGTCGCACAGAGTAAAACCCGCTCAGTGACCTTTAATCTACACGAGGGAGGACACGGAGGTCCGTGTGCCATCACACGTCGACACGTCTAACGCTGATGTGACTGCACATCATTGCCTTCCAGTGAAATTTTTATAACTGTTATGCAAAACAGGGCAACAAATGGCGATGCAGTGGATAGCTTTGTTGCCTCCCAGCAGGAATATCCTGGGCCTGGGACTTTGGAAGTTCTTCATTCTGTCTGCTTCCCTCCACAGTTCGGAGATATCCATGCTAGGTTAATGGGTGATTCTAAATCTCTCTTTTAGCCCTGCACCAGACCGGCGACGTGTCCAGGGTCCATCGTTTGCCTTATGACAGCTTTGATAGGCGTCAGTCTCACTGCTACTTTGAATCAGATGAGTGGAAGAAAGTGAATGAGTGGATGGATACAAAACCCTGCACCAACTTACCTCTGCTTAAACAGCAAAACTGCAACTCATTCCAGCAGCCCGTGTCTCTGATCCAGAGTTATTACAATTTTATCATTTTGTTTTTGAAATTGTTTTTTTTTGTTGTCGCTGTGTATCTACACAGAGTTTATGTGTCACATGCTTTATGTTTAACATAGAAGCCAAATAGAAATATCTGATATAATGAATATTTGATTTAATGATAAAAAAGCGTATTCAGTCACTCATTGAGACATTGAGAAAGTCCACTTCACTCGGCCACTGTGAGTGCACTACCTGTCAAAGTGCAATCAAATCACTGATTAAAGCTTAATTAGACAATACTCTTTGTTTCTGGACTGTTTTCAAAGTGCACTGCGATGGTGACTGAACTGTGCACAAATCCTCGCCTTGTTCATGGGTACCTGAATAGTTTTGAAGCCTGCCGGTATCTCATACATCAGCCCAGGTCTGGAATAACTAAAAAGCCTCCTTTGACAGTCTGTCCCACGAAATGCATAAACAGTACAAGAAAACAAAAGATGCAAAAGCCTCATATTTAAGTGAATTTATGTATATATTTGAGGCTGTATGTTTACTTGTGACCCTGTGTGGATTACAGAAAAACCCAAATAAATTCCAAATTGTGCATCCAAATCTTGTTTTTTAAAGTCATTGGAGATGTATGCTGTGCAATCATTTCACTCAGGCAAAAGACATGAGATTCATACTCAAAATGAGGTTAGGTGTACTTAAAGGATGGATCAAATTATAACATAGGGATTACCATAAAACATGACAAACATAAACATAAACACAATTACAATTACTGCGGGTTATAATGGCATGTTTATAAAAAATAGTAAAAAAAAAACCAAAACAACAACAACCCTGTTAAACCTATGGAAAACTATGAAACTATTTAGGCCAAACCGTTTGGTACTAGGCTGTAAATACGCTTTTAGATGATGTAAATTTGGACATTTTAATCTGGAGGTGTGTGGAGATTCACTCACTTTTTGATCACTGGATTTTCGGCTCTGGGGTTTCCTCTCGAAGAAGCCTGAGAAAAGTAAGTGCAGGCCCCACAAAGAAACTCAACTTTCAGCACAACTGCTTAATCACTGAATTCAGTCTGGCATGGACCATAAGGATAATGTAAAAGTGACAATGATTCAACCTGTTCGGACCAAGTAAAGTCATGACATCAGTGATTTGCACTTCTGAGTCCAGAGTTTTCTAAACTGAAGCCTCGTTCTCTCTTCCTTCAGCATAAAATTTCCAACTGAATTCTTAAAAACCATTTCAACCATCATCACATAATTCCTTTATTTGTGTGTAACATGTGAGTTACAAAGCCCAACCTGAAGTCAGGCGCACAGTTTCTTGTGAAGGCTAAACAGGCCTCTTTCATCTACTAAACAGAAGGGAAGTAGTTTAATTCCTGCAATCCCCATTTTGAAGTGTCCTTGAGCAACATCCTAAACCCTAAATTGGCTTGATCATTGATTGGTGTGTTTAAAAGTGTTTAAAGACATTGAAAAATAAAGTGCTGTGTGAATGAATCAATCTCCAAAAGCAAGAGTCCACAGTAGGAGCAGAGAACTGCAGTACAGCGTATCCCTCTGTCCCTAGAAAGTCCAAGTGAAATGTCTTCTTCCAACATATCCTGTACTTCACGAGTGTCCTCATTTATAAAGATATACATTTGATGAAAGTCACTTAAAATATCATCACATTTGCAGGATCCGATGTTTTCAAAGTGGTGTCATTTTATTTGTCTAAAATGCACACAGCACTAACAGTTCAAAGGCAAACACACAATGCAAACAGAAGTGATACGAGGCTGCGACGCCCTGCAGGCCGATACTCTGTGAACAGCAGAGGTCAAAGGTTGTCGAGGGTCTTCAGAACGACTGCAAAGCTGCTGAGAGGACGCTCAGAAAACAGCTGGATTTTAAAAGCTCTGCTTCAGGAAAGATTTCTGCACATTTACAGATATGCCACAAATACTTGTGAAGATGTTTAGGACACATTTTCATCTGAGATGAATCAGGATTCAGGAAACTAATAAAACTGTGATTAATTGCACTGGAGCTTTTTCGAATATCTGCCATGGACAAAGTTTAGGTATGATGAACAATAACAGGTCCAATAAGAAAATGTATTTCTGTATGAAACAAAAACAGTCCACTCACTCAAATAGACAAAAAAATAAATACATTTTGATTCCACAAAATAAGGCAGAAAATAGATGTTAAGTAATACTTAATTAACCACTACTTTAGCAGTTATTAATTGTTGTTATTATATTGTAACTAAATCAGAATTAGGTGGAAGTGAATGTATTTAATGTTGTGGTTGATCAATGTTTGGTCTTTATTTA